TTACAAGGTTGTTTTAACATATGAAAATTAATCAATGTAATACACTATGTATATTAATAGAATGAAGAACAAAAACTGTGTGATCATCTCAATAGACACAAAAAATTTGACAAAATACATCAGCCTTTTATGATAAAAATACTCAAAAAACTAGGAATATAGGGGAACTTCCTCAATTTGATAAAGGGCATCTACAAAAAGCCCACAGCTAACATAATACTTACTGGTAAAAGACTGAAAGCTTTTCCTCTACGATCAGGAATAAGACAGACATATCAGCTCTGCTCACATCATTTCTATTTGAAATTGTACAAGATTCTATCCAGGGAAAGTAAATAAGAAAAAGAAATAAAAGGGATCCATATAGAAATGGAGAATGTAAAAAAATCTCTACTTACAAATGACAGCTCTTAAATATAAAAAATCTTAAGGAATTCACATTTTAAAAAACCTATCAGAGCTAATAAATGATATCAGCAGGGTTGCAAAATATACAATCCATATACAAAAAAATCTATACTTCTATGTAATGAACAATATAAAATTAAAAATAACAAATCAATTTTATTTACAATAGTCACAAAACAAATGAAATACTTAGGAACAAATTTAATAAAAGAAATGCAATACTTGTACACTGAAACTACAAAAGATTCAAAATGGTGTTCCTATTCCCTGTTATTATTCTTTGGTATCAAAAATCAAGGGCCAATTAAATGAGCACAACTGTATCAAGCTGGAAGATTCACAGAAGAAGATACTTATTCCTGCTGATCCTGAGAGAGATGACATTTCACACTGAAACTGATCAGGTTTGTGGAGCTCACTGGAACTTTTCATTCGAGGAGGACAATTTTAAAAGCCTGAGCTCGCATGAAACCCAACTCCACCAAAGACTCATTGGCAATATTCTATCTGTTACACCAAGGGCAATTTCAAGGCAGTTCTGATATAATTTAAAGATTTTGAGGACTAATGGGATTAAAGTTGACTCTAAGTATTCCAGTTACTCAAGCGACAGCAAAGAATGGCAACAGCAACCACACCTGTAGGTATAATCTTGTGACTGTACAGAGGGCCTAAGTTCCCTCTGTTGACTACATATATTTTAATCAAGTATATATGGTTTTAATTGAATGTCTACAAAATTCCTGGCATTACATAATATTGGTCATGTTGATACATCATTTCTAATCCTTACAATAACTTTGCCAAATAAGTATTTTACAAATGAAGAAAAGTTGTAGAGACTTTAATTTTTATACAGGGCCAAACAACTAAAAGGAAAAAAAATCATTTAAACTCACTAATATTCACTAGTAATAAGTAATATGGCTTGGAAATGTTTAACCCTATGAATTATAAACATCATAATTCTTCCTCTTTATTGTACTGTTTTATTTTTATCACTGTTAACTTACAGGACATGTTTATTCTCTTCATAACAAAAATCATTCCCTCCATGAGTGCTAGGAAAAGTAGTGTGGAAAAATAAAAATATTAAGTCATGACATTATTAAGTAAAGTTGTCATTAAGAAGATCATCATGGAAAGATCTCTGGACAAGGACTTAGATTCCAATTGCAGCTCTGCCACTGGGCTTCAACTTCCTCCTGTGCAGAATGAGAAAGACAGACTGGATGATCTTGAGACCTCCCCCAGCTCAGACATTCAACCATCTGTTCTTGGCGTTGTCTCCATCAGCATCAACTGGGCTGGCCGTTCCATTTAGCGAGGGCGTGCTGTCAACGTGGACAGCCTCTCGGTTCAGTTTAGACGTTTCTTTCTGTTCTGTGGTCACAAATACCACCTCTGACTCATGCCATGGCTTACAGCAGAAGTCAAGCAAGGAACATGGATTTATTATGGCGAATTTATTAGCTCCATTGGAAGTACACATTAATGGTATCTTTATATAGCAAGGGAAACACACTATTATTATTAATGTGAAACAAAGTGGCCTGAGGGAAGGCAGCTCCTTAAGTGTCTAAAAACTAGAAAGCAGCTTAGAATCAGAAAGAAAGTGGCTCCTGTACTGAGTTGAATTAAAGACTTCGCAGTCTAGAAGAGGCTACAGGGACGACTGCCTCTGAATGTACTCAAAGCGATAAATACCTGCTCACCCTCCTGAAACCTCACACACAGAGCAGTGATCTGACTAAGTGCCTTGTTACAGAGGAGGTGAATTCCCCGTTGCTTCTACCTCCGTCATCTCCACAAAATGGCCAAACCTTCACGTGCTCAAAGAGACTGTCAGTCCTCTATCTTCTTCTTGGTCCAAATCATTCTCTATTACTCTATTTCTATTCTATTACTCCATTCTCTTTCCAATTTATTTTTTTCTACTCAGTCTCTCTGTGTCACTGACTCATTCTCAGCCTGCAAACATGCTCAAGTACTTCACCGCATCCTAAAATATCTTTCCCTAACACCTGTGGCTTCTCAAGCCACCTTGCTATTTCTTTACGTTTATCCCTTTAGCACCAGACTGCTTAGGGTTGACCAACGCCATCCTCTCAGTACCCCACCTTACCACTCCATAAGTCCCCTTAAAAGCAGCAATCAACTTCTTAAGAACTAAAGCTGGAGTCTGTCCTTATTGACTTATGGAGTTCGCTCCCTTACATAGATGAAATCAGTTTAAAACTAACACTGAAGGCAACTTAAAGAAGGCTGGGTGTAGAGGTGCTTGCATTTGGGTCAAGCCTTTGAGCTGTTGAAGGAAGGCCCACTACCCACCCAATATGTTCTAAGTCACTAGTACATGTGTGCCCCTCCATGAGCAAAATGCTTGCCTTAGGACAATTGCCCAAATTTGCTATCCCCAAAGGGGTGATCTGGTCACTTTTTCATGCTGCTATAGATTTCATCTATGATTAATGATAGCCTTGTGATCTCAGGTTTAAAAAAAGATCTTATGAAGCTAAAAAACCCAGAAGTATTTTAGCCTGGTAATAAGTTGCTAAGAATAGAGTTGACTAACTTGTTTTTGTGCAATGCTCTTGAATTTATTCCAGATCCTTGAGTCTGCAGCTGTTAGTCAACAGGTGAAAGTGGATTCCCTAAGAGGAGCTACTCTTTGAAGGTTTTGAAATATTGTGACATGGATTTTGTTTAAATTGGCAGTACAAATTTTAATTCCATCCTTTAGCAATAAACTTCACAGTCAAAAAAAAAAAAAAAGTCAAAGGCTTTTCAGGGCATTTGGTAGATTGACTGATGTATGTGACCAGAGAGAGCACATTTCCCAATAGAACATGCTCTGGTGGCTATCTGATGTGAGGCTGAGTGAAAGAGACACAGTCTCAACACAAGGAGAAGGTCGTGCAGGTGAAGTGTGATGCCACATCAAGAAACAAGAACTTTTAGCTCTAGCACTAAATGTATTTATACCTCCTCTGTACTATTGTGAAATTTAGATCAAACAGTGACCTACCTAATAGAACTTTAATTTGTTACGTAAAAAAAAACTTTAAGATGATTTGGGCAGAACCAAAGTTTCAGAATCAGGAAGTCTAGTATTGACCAGTTACAGTTTTTGATAAGTTCCCTAACTTTCCCATGTTTCAACTTTCCCATGTAAATCCCGTGTAAATCAGGAAAACAACTTTTTTTCATAAAATTTCACAATTCTTAATATCACATGCTACTCATCCGGTAAAGGGCTGATAACTAGAATCTATAGAGAACTCGGGAAAATCAGCAAGAAAAAATCAAACAACTGCATTAGAAAGTTGTCAAAGGACATGAACAGAAACTTTTCAAAAGAAGACAGACTAATGGTTAGCAAACATATGAAAAAATGCTCAACATCTCTAATCATCAGGGAAATGCAAATCAAAACCACAATGAGATATCACTTAATTCCAGTGAGAATGGCTTTTATCAAAAGGTCCCAAAACAATAAATGGCGTGAATGCGGAGAGATAGGAACACTCATACACTGCTGGTAGGACTGCAAACTACTACAACCTCTGTGGAAAGTAATACAGAGATATCTCAAAGAGCTACAAGTAGAACTACCATTTCTACATTCTCCCTTTGAGGTAATGCAATTTATTTTACAGTAGTAATTTAATAAACACATTGGTAAAAACTTTTGTAGTGCTTCAGAAAACGTTAACTTCACCGATATCACAGACCAATGGAGAACAGAAGTTCTTCAAATTATAATTTATTAAAATTGCCTACAATGCCACAAGAAAGACTGTGAAATCTCCTGTAGAGATTATTTCTGTAGGAAACAAGAAATTACAACAAGTAAACATTAAAACTATAATATAGAGTTTCATTTCTATGAAAGCAAGCCATGTATTATTATTATATATTTTTATTACATAACACATTGTTATATCCTGGTGACTTTTTAATTTTATTTTATTTATTTGGGGAAGGAAAAAAACATCTCCCTGTGTCACCCAGGCTGGCGTGCAGTGGCATCATCATAGTTCACAGCAACCTCAGAATCCTAGGCACAAGTGATCCTCCTGCCTCAGTCTACCCAGTAGCTGGGCTACAGGCGCAGGCCATCACACTCGGCATATTTTTAAAATTTTTTCTAGAGACAGAGACTCTCTATGTTGCTCAGGCTATCCTGGTGACTTTATATTCCTCATTATTGTGATTTAAAATTTGAATTTTTTATGTGTAATGGTTGTTATTGCAAAATAAATCATATATACTCATTTAAAACTTCTATTTACAGAGCACCATGACCAGGACCAAGTTCTCGTCGGCAGCGAGGACGCGGGATAAAACGCCTACGCGGGACTGTCCGCGGCTTTGGGAGGACACAGCAAAGGGTGGGACCTTCGCCGCACGCAGCTGTCCCGCCTAGCCCGCGCGGGATGCAGGGCGCAGGCCGGGACCGCGCCCACCCCGCCCCCGCGCGCCACCTCCGCTCGGGCCAAGGGTGGGGGTGGGGCGCGGCGTCTCGGCCGCCCCGTTACCCGGCAACGGGATGCCCAGCGAGCAGGGACTGAGCGGAATGCGTGGGAGAAGGCGGTTTGGAGAGAGGCCTGAGCAGAAGGAATGAGCCCGGGTAAGAGCCGGGCCGGCCCCCGCGGGGAGTGGAGGGGAGTGGAGGGAAGAGGAGGGGAGCGGGAGCGGGGCCCGGGCCCTCGCCCTTGCCCGCAAGCCTGGGGACTTCCCGCGCCCGCCCGAGTGCGCGTCTCCAGGGCTCCCCGCCCCTGCCCTGCTCAGCCCGGGCGGAAAGGCACCCCCTCGGCCCCCGCGCCGCCGCGGTCCCCAGCCTGGGTCGCCCCGCCCGCCGCCAGCGCGCCCCCCGGCGGCCGCTGCGGGGAGCTCGGCGCCTCCCGCGGAACCGACCGCCCGCCCGGTTCTGTTACAGAAAAGCAGCAGGAGGAAAAGGATGAGGTCGACTCCGTTCTCCTTTCTGCGTCCAAAATCCTAAAGTCCTCAGAGGGGGTAAAGGACAGTAGTGGCGGTGAAACAGGTAAAATCGCCGAGGCCAGGGCGCTGATGGCCGTAAAAGCCTCCTGTTACTACACACCTTGCCTAAGTACACCCAACTGGTGTGCTTCTAGTAGTAAATAACTATTATTAGGATACTAACAATAGCGAGCACGGCCCTCTTCCCGTGCTGTTCTAATGCAGTTAAGCATTTAATCCTCACAACAGCCCTGTGAAGTAGGTACTGTCATTATCCCCATTTCACAGGTGAGGAAACAGGCACAGAGAGGTTAACTAACTCCCTAAGGTGACACAGGTAGCAAGGGATACACCGGGCATTCAGCAGGGCGGCTCCGGAGTACAGTTCTTAACCACCACTCTATATATACTGCTTTTCTGAATGCCAAATAAGAATTGTGGATTTTTTTTGGACAGACACTAAAACAGTATACAGTGGGTTCTCTGTATCTATCTATGGATTCCGAATTATCAAATTCAACCAACTGCAGTTAGAAAATATTCGGGTAGAAAAAAAAACAGTAAAAAATAACTACAATGTTTTAAAATACAAATTTTTAAAATGTAATATAACAACCATTTACATAGCATTTACATTGGATTGGGAATTTTAAGTAATCTCAAGATGATTTAAAGTATATGGGAGGATGTGAACAGGTTATATGCAATTACTACACAGTTTTATATCAGGAACTTGAACATCTGCAGATTTTGGTGTTTCTGTGGGGGTCCTGGAACCAATCCCAGAGGATACTGAGGGCTGACTGTATACTTTTTCTAAAGACAACTACTTTTTACAGTAAATATTCGTGGACTACAGGATATTGTACGGGGAGGATGCTTATGTCCACAAAACCATAAATGAGATATGTGTAAACACCCAGCTAGGGGAATCTGAGAGCACTAAAGTTGGAGTCTCACTTCCTTGAGAGAAGCCCAAGCCATCCACCTCTCAGAGGGGCCTGGTGTTCCGAGTGAGATGCCAGATGTGGGCAGGGGCAGTGTCATAACTCACCTGTGGCCTGTGGGTGATCCCCACACAGAGGTGCAGAGAGAAGTGCTGGGCCAGCAGAGGCCTGAGGTCGGGACAGGATTTCTGCACCTTCACAAATCAAATACCTTGTCGAGGGCCTTGGAAGAAGAGGCTAGAGACAGCCATAGCTCAGTAGAAGAAAGATAGCTGCAGCCTGGGCACCACCAGGATGAGCAACATCCCAGGGGAGGCCAGCAGGACAGTGACTGGCCAGACCCCTCTCCATCCTTCGGCCTCCCACATCCGTCCATGAGGATGTGCAGGCTTCCCTGTGCAATCCAGGAGGGGGGACAGGGGACCCCTGAACAGGGGAAACAGGGTCCTCACAGAAAGTTTAGACACTGAGTCAGCTCAGTATTTACCTCAAAGAGACTGTTTAAGGTCAGAAGAGATGGAGGTAACTCAATTTAGTAAGATCACATGTTTTATGGGCTCTGGAGGAAAACGTCAGCATTTATAGAAAATAAAGTTACATGCAAAATAGCACATGTGTTTGTTCAAGAGTTATAGTCTTTCTTGCTAGAACACAATGGTTAAAGGGCAGGGTTAGCACAGGGCAGGTTCTCAATCAATGCCAGATCTCCTAAGGCAGCTGCTGCCAAGGATGACAGGGACTTCCTGCCTGCAAGTGCAAGCAAGGGGCCGGGCGCGGTGGCTCACACCTGTAATCCTAGCTCTCTGGGAGGCCGAGGCGGGCAGATTGTTTGAGCTCAGGAGTTCGAAACCAGCCTGAGCAAGA